CCATGAAGTTTCATCATGGCCATTCATTGCCTAAAAATATTAGTTCAAGAAATGAAACTTTTTAACACGGGGCACAATATTTTCCCTTAACTCTACAAGCCGTGACAACCTGTCATCCTATTATTTTTTTCGATGCGACTTTCAGGGTCCACTTGTAGTTTTCCGCGTATTTACAGACCTCCTCCTGGTCCTGATACAACAAAATTTGGGTAGTTAATAATGATCCGAACCAGAAAAGGTATATTTTTCTTTATAGGCAGGTCAAGATTAATGCATTTATAAGCAAAATTTAATAATACTAGCATAAGTAAAGGTAAATCAGGAAAGGTATTAGATCATTGAAAACAAAAGAGTTAAAATTGAGGCAACATTTATGTTCGCGTACTTGAGGTGTGTGATAGACTTACCTCCACGTGGTGCACCCTGGACAACGTATATTCATACGGCAAAAATGTCTATTAACTGGCAGTTGACTTCTCACTTCAAACTACCATCACCCCACTGTGTGTCATATTCCACCACTTTCACAGTAATCACCTCACCTTTTTCTCTACCTTTGTGTCTGTCTCTTTTACATCTTTGAAACACACTTCTGTCCCCCCCCCCTCTCGAATTTTTTTCAGTTTGATGTTCCTTCCTCTCTGTGAATCCTAAAGTCAACTAAAAGGCTAATGATAACTGTCAAAAAGCCTGTCATCTGGTATAAATACTATTGAATCTAATACTTGAGGTTTCGTGCCCAAGGCACCGCAAACTGATAACATTATCAATATTAATAAAGTAATGAAAATATAAAATGCATTTTTACGAATGCAATAAGTTTAAATGAATCAATGATTACACTTTATGTAAGTTATTGAACATTAATCAATAAGAACTCAGGAGTGGAGCTTAGCTATCATGTTTGAGCATGAGCGATATCGCGTAAGTCTCTAATTTAATAATTGCCCCTAAAAATGGTCTTTTTCATTAAAACAATATCTTCACTGAAAATAAGCGGTGTATTATTATTATTATTATTAATATTATAAATATTGTTAACTTTATTACTCATAATATCGAAGTTTAATGCAAACAACGTTTTTTTCAATTTATTTTGATTAAAACGAAACAAGAATACACATCCGAATCGTCAAAAAATCTTTCCGACAAAGCGACTGGTAAAAGCCATATTGACAAATAACGTAAATGAAGTACGAGGGTGTTTGATGGCTGGAGTAAGTTTAGTTAATTAAATGGCTTTAAATAATTGTAAAGTTAACTGAAGAAAGTTCCGCTGTTGGAATGATCCGATACATTCAATATTAAACATGGAAATTTCGTTATCGGCCATTCAATGAGTGAAATTTCCGTGTATCAACATATTCAAACTTATCTATTACATGTAATAAGTAACGCAATTTCCCGTTGATTCAAATTGTTTTTATTTCCTATACTTCTTTAAGGGAAAATAGGGGGTCCAATTTACTGGGTTTAGGGATTCTACCCTAAATCATCTAACTCACTTCATTGAATTCAGGCTACAGTTTTGCCGAATTGGATACGCGTCTTACTTATCGATGTGATACAATCAGAATGAAAATGTTCTTGTGATTTTTTTCTGATCGTTTGGAATTTCACCAATTTCTTTTTGGCTTCACATTCATTACGAGCGGTCGGCTCAGTTGCTGTCTAATCAACATTAATTTACAACCCTTACACGTAACTAAAGTTAGCAAGATTTAGCTTTTAGTCTCCTGTGCAGTTCTGGAAAAACGTTTTCGAATGAACAGATTTTTCGCACATTCGCCCAGTTCCATAGTTCGAATCTCTTCCTTCTCATATTTCATAAGCTTCTATTTGGATTAGAGTGAAAAGAGGTTAAGACAAAGAGCAAAGACCTTTTTCCGGGCTTTAAGTAATTCAATTATAGCCCTGATGAAATTGACCACATTTACTGATCACGGACGAATTAGTCACATGAGAAATTCAAATCTGCTACGTAACTCATTTTATTAGTTCCGGTTTGAGATGGTTAAAAGTAAGTGAAAAGGTTGTTTATGAACCTAGTCTGACTTCATATTTCAAGTAAGGGTGGTGGATAAGGTCATTCAAAGTTCTTGAATTTTTTTATCCTTTTTGAAGAGATGTCTGTCCAGGGAAAAAACAATCACAAAATTATCGAAGAGACAAATATTTGAAGACAAATATTTTGTTTCATGTTTTCTTATTTCTGTTTATATCTTTCTAAAGTATTTTTACTAATAAAGATTTAAAAAAGAATTAATTTATTAAAAGCACCAAAGAAAAGTGTCTTCTCAAGTAACCTTGAGAGTTTACCGTCTTCAGATGCAAAATAACTGATCCCAAATTAATTCTTACTTGAGAAAACGTTTTAAAATATCGTATCATTCCACCGATGAATAGTGTTTTGAAAATGTTATATTATGACCAATTAGACGTTTTCAGCATGCCAATTTCATGTTAAATTTGACTGCTAAGAGAAAAGCTATCTCTTTACACCCAATAGTTCCGTCATTCACCATTTATAGTGAGAGGCTACTTTGAGTCACTCAAACACTTATCCAATGTACTTTAAACAATTGAGAACCCAACCTTCTCTTCCCAATTTATGAGCCTAGGCATCAGTGTCATAGGACTAGGGAGGAAAGCATTTATTTTGTAGCCATAAGGCAGGATATGATGTACCGTTACGCTAGTGCCATAATACTGAATAAAGAAAGTAATACGCTCATCCACATATCTGGAAAAATGCTGTATAGAGACACCAAACTTATAGATAATACACTTTTCGCCTTATATAAGCAAAGCGTCAATTGTGGCAGAATTATATGGAAAAATTTGTTCACTTAAAGGCTGATGCAAATTCAAGATTGTTTGCTAAAAGTGCAACGGCACTTATGGTAGCAGCTTCACTAGGATTCTCCGAGATTCTACGCATCCTTCTATCTCAAGGTGTATCTATCAATGCTAGAGACAGCGACGGCAACTTTGCAATTCATTTAGCTGCTGAACGTGGTCAATTAGAATCTGTTCGACTCCTTATGGAAAAGGGAGGCCTTGCAAATGTTGGAAATAATCGTTTCCATACTCCATTAATGTTAGCTGCCGCAAAGGGTCATGCTCACGTTGTCAGTCACCTCCTTGACAATGGAGTAAACATGGCCTACAAATTGAACAAAAATTTTGATTCAGAACTTACCTTGGCTGCTCGATATGTAAGTTATCATACTGAGAGTCAATTAATCTTCAAACTTCTTGTCCTCTAATGCAGAATCACTTAGACGTTGTAAAAGTCCTTTTAAGTAAGGCTGATGTAGGGATTGACAGGTCAGGTGAACTTAATGAGGCTTATGCAAGTGCCCTATTGTCTTCCTCCAATGAAATTGTTGAAACTCTACTCTCCGCTGGTGCCGACGTCAATCACTTCGAACCTCCAACTTTACTACCGCTTTTCGTAGCTATTGGGCGCAAGGACGTGGAATTTGTCAAAACTTTGCATAGACATGGAGTTGATCTCACCAGGTTTGATGATGAAGGCTATTCCCCTCTAATGTACGCAGTTATAAGGGAAAATTTGGAAGCTGTTAAATTTTTAATTTCCATTGGTAAGTACATCTTAAGATGTGATATTATTATTATTATTTTAGTATATTTAATTAAGATAATGAAATTAGGTGCATGAGTGCAATAAGTCCACAAATTTACCCAGATGTGATTTAAAATCGGCGATTAGTTGCATGGAGCATTGTCAATCATCAAATTGTGATTTTAAATTAAAAACTAGCTGTGTGAATTTGGTGAACCTAATGCGCGCTTCCATGTACATGCTCTCTCAACTTTTCAGCCATTGTTTTGTAATTTTTTAAATTTATATCCTAAGCCCAGTAACGTAGCCGCGTAGGTCATTTTCTTATATGGAGGCTTACAACAGTAGAGAAACTAATTAATTAATTAACGTACTGGAAATATTTGCCAAAAAAGGGCAAGAAATAGATCTTTACCTGGGATGAAAAGGGAAGCAGTAGGCAAATTGATATAATTGTCCCATTAACTAAGCTAATCTGACTCATTGACCAGTCTCCCCTAAATGCGACGAACGGGATATAGACAAATGGCATTGAATATGAGTGAAAAGGAAGCAGGCGTACGGGGAGAGGAGGGTACCAACAGAGCAACTCGAGTTGGGACAAGCAAAGCCGTCATGGAAGTACTTGCCTGCTGCTTTCTGAAGGAGTCATTGCAAAAATGGCAAGAATGAGATGTCCCACGCTTGAATATAATTCTGCTTCTCTTAAATGACACAACGAACCTGTGCCATTGTATTTACATGATCGAAGATGGAATGCAATTTGAATATAATTAATTTAAGGTGCAAATAGGGGAAGCGTTGGCAATCGTATCCGCGGGCTGATCATTTGATGCTAATCCCTTAATAGTTGGACATATATCATAATGGCTCTTAATTAGGTTTCATAGTAATATAATTCATTTATATTTAGGCGCTGACCTCAACGTGAGGGACACTAAAGGAAACTTAACTGCCATCGAAATTGCAGAAGCAGTGGATGATGGAAGGATACACAAAATTTTGGAGGAAGCGCGAAGTTCAAGAACTGAAAATTGATATCTCTCTTTTGCACATGTGATCAGAAAGTATTTTTAAATAAATAGATGGTTTGCAATGTTGGCATTTGTTTAATTTCCATAAATCCTCATATTCACAAATTAGCGAAATCGTTTGAGCATGATTCGATTTGAAAATTAATGCTTGCATTATTGAGAAAACAGACAGGGTCTAATTGAACATCTGAAGTTCTTTTCAACATTTTTATTAACCTCAAAGCCTTGCTTCAGAAGATCATATCTTTTTATTTTATGCCAGTAATAAGCTTTTGAATATTCAATTAATATAAGTCGAATAAGTCCGTGAATTCGCTGAAACACGCTGAGCACCCGGTAAGGTTTTTGCTTCTATTTTGAGAGTGATTCAAAGACAGATGAGATTAACGGCACTTGAGTGTTTTGAGATCTCAAATAGGCGACAACACGTGATTTTGTTCTGAGTTGAAGTGTTTGGGAGAAAAATACTTATCTGCTAAAATGTAGCCAATTACTGCTCGTTTTCATTAATCAATGATAATTACTCGCATCACAAAGAACCAAAGGTAAGAATAGACGGAATGCGTCAAAATAGTTTAAGTAGAGACAAAGACCTACAGTGTCTTAACTTCTTTGTGCGCAATCACTTTTTACAATATTACCAAAAAATTTCAACTTTACTTTGGAGAAGCGCTTGAATTTGGTGAATTGAAAGAGGATTCGTTTCCGCAATGTGTTGGATTTCGGGGTTGAAGGCGACCATCTACGAGCCAAGCCGAACTGTGAATAACAACAGTTCTCCACTCCATTTACTCTCCCCTCTCCGAACCATGTAATTGTAAAGTAGCTGGAAAATACGAATGCAAATTGTTAAGTCGTGGGGAATTTAGATTCCCATTAATTGAATTCAGGTGAGTTTTACTGCGCCGAGTAATTAGAAGAGTGATGATGGCGATATGGAGGGTGTGGGGGGGGGGGGAATGGGAGAGGAAATGGAACTTGAGGGGTGGGGCTGTTGGTAACTAGGGCCCACTTGGCACCTCTACTTGTTAGAATCAGAGTGTGACCCCTACAATTGAGAGAGATAATATCGCAATATGAGCACGAGTGAGGCTGGTATCTAATGCAATTTCTTTATTAACCATCTAATTAAATTTGAACGGGGGTAATCTTGAAGCATTGAGTAAATGACAATCTCGACATCTTACTATTCATAGCGCAAGAAGTAAAAGACGATATTGAGCATACTTTATTACAGGAATAGGCCAACGCAAAGGGAAACAGAGAAAAGTAGGAAAACTAACTCGTGATAAATGGCGACTCAAATCGCTTTCAACCCGAAACTTAAGCATTTCATTGAAAGTAGCATTAAACCTAAGTTCATAATTAGTGCTCATATGGGTCTTTATAACACTGGTTTCAATTAAAACTATATTATGTTTAGATTTGCTCAGGGTTAATCATCTTAATCATCTTCTGTTCCAATTTGAGCATAAAATCAATCCAAATATCCCCACTATCCTCTTCTCAAATCTACAATATATACCATAAAGAATTCCATATATTCAGTTAATATTACTAAGTTTAAAGCTATTTTAGTGCTCAGAAGGCGTTTAAAGGGCTAGCTAAGGTTTACGATGCATAGGCTGTGCAGACTGGCTTCTTGCAGAACTTTAGAATTGTTGTACTTATCGAACTATTAAATATCAGAAATAGACTTTCATAGGTACTTTTAGCAAATTGGAATATTAAAAATGTGCCCATTCGAATTCACCTTATTAGCTTGAAAATCTACATTTTCTGAACTCAATTCACCTTTTTAACGATAGCTGAGATGAAATTGTTTAAAACAACTTATATTTAAATAGCTTCAAATAAACAGATAGTTACTACTCAAATTAATCAAAATTATACTTAAAAAATCTTTTCCACTCCTTTTGAGTCTCAATTTGTTTTGAGCGCCATGAAACCATTTTGCACCCACAAATAAGGAAGAAGGAGGCATATCCACGATCAAACACCCTTTGTTACAAATTCGTATTCAAAAATTCCAAATCGGGCGCAAACTTGGCATAAATTAATCAGTTTATGGTAATAACAATTTCCTATTTGCAATTTTTAATCATGGGGTGTGCGATAGACTAACCTCCACGTGGTGCACCCTGGGCAACGTATACTCATACAACAAAAAAGTCTATTAACCGGCAGTTGACTTCTGACTTCAAACTACCCCCACTGTATGCCATATTCAACCCATTCCACAGTACTCATCTTACCTTTTCTCTGCTCTTTTGTCTGTCTCTGTCACATCTGTGAATCATTATTCTGTCCCCCCTCTCGACTTTTTGTCAATTTGATGTTCCTCCTCCTCTCTGTGAAGCCTAAAGTCAGCTAAATGGCTAATGATAACTTTCAAAACGCCTGCCATTTGAAATAAATAAATAAATATTTAATCATTTTTTCCTCACAGCCATTCGAAGGAAAGGGATAAGTTGTAGGACTATTCGTCATGATAAAACACCCATTAATTGCAGGATATCGTCAAGGAAAGAAATGATAAAGTTAAAAAATACGGAAAACGAAACATGACACGACCCCAATCCACAATCAAGGGACATGCGGCTCATCTGTACTTCACGCTGTTTGCCGGATCTTCTTGATCCGCTCAATCTAATCAATTACTGGAGTCTTCGTAAACCAATTTCTAGTGTTTCAAACAATTAAATATAGCTTGCTTTTGCATTCTTGTTGGTAATCATAGTAAATTGTCGGTATTTCTGAAATGTTAAATTTTCTACCCAAGATACAAAAGATAAGATACAAACAAGGTTAAAAAAGGTAAGATGAGTACTGTGAAAGTAGTCGAATATGACATACAATGGGGTCATGGTAGTTTGATGTCAGAAGTCAACTGCCGGTTAATGGACCTTTTTGCCGTATGAGTATACGTTGCCCAGGGTGCACCACGTGGAGGTAGGTCTATCACACACCCCGAGTTTGTAATAATTAAACGTTGGTTACCTACTGGACACTCGTAGGCTAAAATATATTAGGTCTTACCAATATGCTAACAATAGGGGTTATGGAAGGCGGATCTAACGTGGTTGGCCAAATACCAATAAACAAATCAAATAGTCAAAATTCTCTTTTACATCTCTGAATCATTATTCTGTCCCCCTCTCGTCTTTTTCGTCACTTTGCTGTTTCTCCTCCTCTCCTCTCGTCTTTTTCGTCACTTTGCTGTTTCTCCTCCTCTCTATGAAGCCCGAAGTCAGCTAAAGGGCTAATGATAACTATCGAAGCGCCTGCATTTTAAATAAATAAATTTGCCTAAACAAAAGTCTAGAGTGGTTAATAATACCACAACTTACTTCAGAATTACTTAGTTGGGGTTAGAGTTTGCGATCTTTGCATTTCCGGCTTATAATTGTAACAGCTTGTAGAATAAATATCTCCCCAACTTTTTACTTCATTCTGCCTAAAATATCCAAATGTGTTCACTTTATTTGTTTCAGTTTAATATGCCCCTGATTTTAAAATGGACAATAATATGATTATAAAACACCTTAATGAGTAATATAAACCCAATGGTCTTTGCTAGAATGCAACTATGACGTTGAAATGGACAAGCACTGAGCAGCAAAGCTAGCATTTATTTTGAGAGCTGCATTTAATTAAGTCGCAATTATGCAAATTGGCACCCGGAGAGACGAAAGAAAACATTTTTCAACTTTAGCCTAAAAGGTTGTTATTTTTAGGCATATATGACTAGTTAATTTGCATTATTGCATGAATTGCGGGCTTAACAGTGAAATCCAATGAGAAAGGAGAAAGCTACATGGATAATGGCAGCTATTGTCAATTATCTTCTTTGGAAAGAGTACTCATTTGCAAATAATCCCATTACTTCCTAGTTCTTGCTTATATTTGTGTTTTAATATATAGACTGCCTGGCGAAGCACCTACACAGAAAAGGAGTATACGCTCAACCAACATGCCCCCCCCCCCTATGTGACCTACAGGAGGAAATGGAGAAGGTCCACCTAATTCGGTGTTAAGGTCTAAAGACAGCGACAGAATCCC